AAAAAAAAAAAAAAAAAAAAAAAAAACAAACATATGAAACTATAAAAGCTCGCTCTGTGACTTGAAAAGCTTTTGGTTTTCGTTTTGTTTGCAGCTTTTATTGCTTGTGGGCTGTTCTCGATTTGGAAATGGGCTTTTATTTCGATCAATCGAAAATGCTAAAGTTTTATTTATATTTTAAGAGGTATATGGAAAACCCCTTACATTTAATTTAATTGTATTTGCTATAAATAGATCATCAGGTTTCCGAGATTTCAGGCACGATTATTGAAATGGGCCCCTTGGCATAAGGATGTTTTTCATTAGTGCTCAGAAAAAAGGAACCAGATGAGCTGCAAAAAAGGGAACAGAGAGAGAGAGAGAGAGAGAGAAGGAGTTAGAGTGTGAGAGAGAGAGAGAGAGAGAGTAAGAGAGAGAGAGGGAAAGAGAGAGAAATAGAAAGAGAAATACAGAGAGAGAGAGGATGATAGGGAGACACAGAGAGAACCACAAAGAAAGACAATGAAAAGGAGCGGGAGAGAATAATAAACAGAATGAACGAAAGATCTCTGCTTTCTTTATCTTTATGGTTCTCTCTTGTATTTCTATGACTCTCTCTCTCTCTCTCTCTCTCTCTCTTTATCTATCTCTCTCTCTCTCTCTCTCTCTCTCTCTCTCCCGCAAGCGAATGGGAGATTGAGATTGGGAGAGGCAGGCATTAAAGATCTCGACATATATAAGTCTCTATAACTTACTTCTCCGACACAAAGTAGCCCATCTGAGTGTTGAGGCGATGGGCGTGGAGGCCACAGCGTCGCGTGAAATACTGCATCCAATCGCTGCATTGCTGGGCCCAGAAGCCGTGCTCGCTGACAATGGACTCGCCGTAGTAGATGGCGGCGCGGAAGTGGTTGCAGTTGTAGGGGCGCCAGTGATTGATGTACGTGCAGCCGGGCTGACTGAGCTGATCGAGGTTGGGATAGAAGTCCGCGTGACCCATGGCCGGCAGCAGGGAGAAGAAGAAGGGATCTGTGTGAATGACATCCACGAAGTCGGCATCGCTCGCATCGAGCTTATCCTCCAGCCTGTTGGTCATAAAACCGGGTCCGGCTGGATCCAGGCCCGTTATGCGCGATAGGGGCTCCTGCACTGAGTTGGCCGTCAAGCCCGCCACCTGGCCGCCCAGGCTGAAGCCAATGAGATGCAGTTGCTCCCGCCGGTAGAGGCCGCTGGCCAAGAGATTGTCGATCAGCTGCGCCAGGCACTTGGCCACCACCGGAGCGTTGCGCACCGCCCACGGGTAGTAGCAGGGGAACCGCACGAGGCTGCCGTAGTCAACGGAGATCACATGAACGGGCTGCGCTTGGAGCAGCACGCCGCGCACCTCCGCATTGGGCGTCAGGCTGCGGTTGCCAGTGAAGCCGTGGATGAGGATCTTCAAAGGTAGGCGAGGCTCAAAGGAGCTCGCCTGCAGATTAAGTGGATCCAGCTGAACAGGAGCATCACGACTGGAGCTGAATGGAGAGTGCAAAGAGAGAGAGAGAGAGATATAGTGAAGCATCTGCACCCGATTCTCACTCACTTGGTATAGAGCCAAAAGCTGATGCGCGCGTTGGGACACTCATCCGTGGCATAGAGACAGGGCTCGCGCTGGAATCGAGGCGTGTCCAGCCTCACTGAGCTGCTCCACAGCAACAGCAACGGGATCGCTGCACTCCTCCGATATTCGCACATCGCGAGCAGCTGGAGCGCATTGGCAGTCTTCCCTAATGCTAATTCTATTAAATTCTATTCGGCTGACCTTGAGAACGACTCGGCCCTTGAGGCCTCCCCTATGCGCTGGCTGCGATAAGAAGTCAAGGCCCCGATTGTAGGTCAAGCCATCCACTCCAGCTGCGGGCCCAACTCCATTTTCGCAAGCCGATAAGGCAACTAAGCCTATAGAGTGACTTTTGGGTAACCCCAACCCGAGCTGAACTTGTCGATTGTAGACTCAACTTGGGTTTTAAATGGAATTTCATTTAATTTAATCCAATAAAATTTTTAATAAATAATACATTTCTGATGTCTGATGTCTGGGTATATTGGCTTTGGGTAACAGATAAGGGTGGTACGCTAATATATAGTGATAAATAATTTTACTAATTTAATATAAATATTACTAATGGTGTTTAAGTTAAGAGTTGTACTAAGATTTGTGCCTTTCGGTATTAGCTTAGCCAAACCTAGGAATTGTATTAACTCCAACGAATATTGCATCGTATTTATATGTGAAATATATAATACATTTATTACTTTAGATTAGTTGGTGGTTAAGGGCATAAGTCTTATCGGAGATATTGTAGTTAGGAGACCTAGAAGAGCGGCTCGTCCAGCGACTCCTGCCAGTTGAGTTGTTTCTCCAGTTCGTTGGTGTCCACATCTTTGTCCTCCAGCTCGGGTATGGACTCGCCCAGTTCCGGCTCGAAATCGTGCTCGATTTCACTGTGCCTCGAGCTCAGGTGGAACTTGGCCACATATTTGCTGTTGTCCTCTTCCAGCGGGTTGCCCATGGCGTAGGGCGGCTGACTGCGCGTCTTGAGGAAGAAGGAGCCGCTGAGCTGCAGCGACACGTGGTAGCCCATCAGAGCGAGCTCGGAGCGTGTGGAGCAAAGGCCAAAGACGTAAATCAGCCAGCTGGAGCACTGGCGGCCCATGAAGCCCAAGCTGGAATTTATGGACTCGGCATAGAAGCGCGGCGCACGTTCGTGGTTGCAGCTGCCCGGGTCGTTGGGATTCTCCTCCAGGCAGCCAGGCTGCAGTGGTCCGAAGTTGGGATAGAAGTCCACATGGCCCATGGGACGCATCATGCCACGCCCCAAGGTATCCGTGTGAATGACGTCCACGAATTCCGCATCGCCGGCATCCAGTCGACGCGCATTGTTGCTCAGGATGAAGAGTGGCTTAGCCGGATCCAAGCCGGTGATCCGTTTGGGCTTGCGTTTCAGGTAGTTGGACGCTTGTCCGGCCACCTGGCCACCGAGGCTGAAGCCAATGATGTGTATCAGCTCGTGCGGCACAATGCCGCGCTCGACGAGATTGTTAATGAGCTGCGCCAGGCATTTGCTGACCAGTGGAAGGTTCCTCACGGCCGCAACATAGCACGGTGCCCGCACCAATGGAGCGTAGTCTATGGATATCACGTAGACGTTCTCGTTGTCCAGCAGAGCGGGCCGTATGTGGTTGTTGGGGGCGAAGTCGCGATGGCCCGTATAGCCGTGCAACAGTATTTTCAGTGGCCGGGACGGCTGAAAGTCCCAGGGATTCAGATCAACGGGATTCAGCTGGATGGGAGCATCGCGCGTGTCGCTGTGAAAGGTGAAGGAAATGAATTTATAAATCGGAGCAGGTGAGGCGGAAGATGACATACTTGGAGTACAGCCAGAAGGTGACATTCTCATTGGGACAGACGGCGTCAGTGGCCACAAAGCAGCTGGGATCCAATATGCCCAGGATAGGATTGCCGAGGCAAGAGCAAACGCCAGCTACGGAAAATTGGCGGCAAATGAAATGGGAGTAAATGAAGCATGGGAAAATGCTTACCGAGTAGCAGTAGCACCGTTGTGGTCGGCCTCATTTGAGCTTCTAGCTGGAACTGTGCCTCCAGCAGCGAAAGTGCGCGGCTTTTAAAGTGGCGCCTAATCAAAGAGTGCGATCTGTGCGGCGCGTAGAGATTCGAGACGTTGACATTAATATGTAAACACCCACACACGTACGCGGCAACACCTGCTAATTCGCAACATGTGTGTTAGTTAATTAGGTCATTATTAAATGAAATTCGGTTCTCCAAATGTCTCACTTTTTAAATGCAGACACTAGCGTCGACATCTATGTTTCGATTGAGTAGACATGCTGCTCCATTCTCATAGCTATTAGCTCTTGTTTGCGATGGCTCTAAGCAATTAGAACATGTACTACATTTTAAATTATAAATGTACATAAATATGTAGTTTGTACATTTGTTTGTATTTGTTGTATGCAGCTAAATTATTTGGAGTTTTTACCATCAGCGAAACACACGTGTCGCTTCAACAACCATGGCACACCTACTAACTCACTCGTTTCGTGTAATTGTCAATTTCTTCACTAGAGAGCACAATTGCCGTTTAACATTAATTGTATTTTCAAACGCTTTTATCAGCTAGCACTGAGGTCGCCATCTATGTTTTGGTTGAGTAAGTCGTGTACGCTTATCGCTTATCGTCATAGCTATCAGCTTTTGTTTGTGGTCTTGTTTCTGCTGTCAGGCTAAATGATATGAGTAACAAACGATAAATTTATAAGCTGTGCGATTGTAGACAAGCAGTGCATATTCTTAGGAGTAATTGTTATTTTAAGATTGTAATTTATATGCTGAATTTGTATTACTACTTAAATATTGTTTACTTTCACTGTGGTGAAATATACATTATTTAAAAATATTTGAGTAGTTTTATAAGTCTTTTTATTCTCAGCGCATAGGCGAGCTATATTGCGATTCGATAGTTTCGTGTGCCTTATTTACATTTCGCTTGCGCATCTCTAATGCAGTTTCTTAGTAAACAACAACAGTTGTTTTCACCTACAAATTTGACCCGGCAGCTGATTGCCGATATGATAAGTTAAAAAGATTTCCAACTCGCAGCGTATGGAAGTGCTGTTTCGTTTGTAAATTTCCTTAAAGGCGCAAGGTGTGTATTGAAAATAGTTGTGCATATGCACATTTTTTCTATAAAATAAATGTAAACAAAGTTCTTCTCATTAGCGTGGAGCGTATCCTGACCGGACTATCGTTGTCTGACGATATTATTGGAGGAATCGGCATACGGATTTGAAAAAGTGCATCTCTCACAAGTGGAAAATTGAGCTGTAAAGCTAATAATGTTGTAGATATTATTTCATATACTACAACTGTAATCTTTTCAGCATCTGCAACTAATCATGGCAAAACGTCGGACGTGGGAGCAGATGCGTCACGTTTTCCAGTGCGCCGTGAGAGCAGTGCATCCGGAAAAGATATTCGAGGATTATAAAATTCACGACCTGCGACCCTCAGCACAGAACCAGAGTGTTTATATCAAACTAAACGGAGAGCAACATGACATAACGGGCAAGACATGTCACATTGTGGGCTTTGGCAAAGCCGTGCTGGGCATGGCCAACAAGGTGCAGCAGGATCTGGGCGACTGCTCCGCTGGCGGTGTGCTAAGCGTGCCCCTCAACAGCGTGCAGCAGTACAAGCAGCCCATCAGCCAGAAACTGATCACATATGAGGGAGCGCCCAACAACTTACCCGACGAGATGGCACTGAATGCAGCGAAGGCCATCAAGCAGCTGGCGGAGAGCATGACTAGCAAGGATATACTCGTTGTATTCATTTCAGGAGGCGGCTCGGCGTTGTTGCCCCTGCCCAAGCCTCCGCTGACGCTGCTAGACAAGCGCACCATAGCGGACAAGCTGATGAAACACGGCGCCAGCATTCAGGAGCTGAATACGGTGCGCATTGCCTGCTCGGATATTAAAGGCGGAGGACTGGCACGGGCGGCGCAGCATGCGCATCTGTTGGTCACCTTTGTTCTCAGCGACATTGTCGGGGATCCACTGGAGCTGATTGCCTCCGGGCCGACCATACAACCCAGCGGCAGGGGTGAATCCGCCAAGGATATTTTGATAAAACATGAAGTGTGGAACACACTGTCAACGGAGCTGCAGCAGTTCTTCGAGCAGCAACCCAGTGAGCAGCAGCAGCAGCCACTCGACAATGGCAAAGTCTTTGTGGTGGGCAGCAATTTGGTGGCTACCACAGCAGCAGCCAATGAAGCCACCAAGCTGGGCTACATTCCCTGCGTACTGAGCTGCTCCATACAGGGCGATGTGAACAGCGTGACGGCGGACTATCAGCGCTTGCTGCACGGCATCCAAGAGTACAAGCAGCGCAGCATCAATCAAGAGCAGCTGCGCGACAGATTCGCCTACGACGAAACGAGTTGGGATGAATTTCTCAAGGCGCTCGAGCAGCATATGACGAACAATAAGCCACTGTTTCTTATCTGTGGCGGCGAGCCAGTGATCCAAGTGAGTGCCAATCAATAGCTGAACTATAAGCATAGCTATAATAATATTTTGCCCGATTTAATTTCAGGTCACGGGTCAGGGCCTGGGCGGACGCAGTCAGCACTTGGCGCTGCTCATGTCGCAGATGCTGCATCGGGATGAGCTGCTGAACGATTGCAGCTTCCTGAGCGCCGGCACGGATGGCATTGATGGGCCCACGAATGCAGCGGGCGCCATAGGCGACAGCTGCGTCATCGATGCCTACCTGGCTGGCCACACACTGGACGAGCTGGCCAACTGCCTGCGCAATTGTGATAGCTACAACTTCTATAGCCAGCTGGAGAATGGTGGCTTTCACATGGTCCCTGGCCACACGGGCACCAATGTCATGGACCTGCATTTCCTCGTCGTGCCGTAAGAGTTACGTTCGAGTTTCGCTGGAGGCTTAGCAGCTCTTGAAACCCGGCCGGAGGCATAGTTTCAATTTGTTTAATAAGTGTACAGACAGTTTTTACGATTTTCCTGTTTAATTTTAGCTTAAAAATTTTTACGACTCGTTTCATTAACGTTTTTCGTTTTTGTTTAATGTGCATCTCAAGTCGCTGTCTATGCTGTGCCGCATCTATGCTCAAGTGAACAAACATAAAAGTTGGCAATTGGCCTTTTCCTCCCCTTCAATGACAAATAATAATATAATAAAACATTTTGTTCTCTGGGCTCATGAAATCAGCAATATTCTTATTTCGTTGTGTGTTTGGCCACCAGATGAATTGTGTTGATTTTTATGGCTGTTCTCATATATATGTGATAAATCATGTGGATATATCTATCTATATGTATTTATGATTATTATAAAGCATAAATATTTGAGCTTTTCTTAAGTTTGTTTGCCTCATAAAAATGCGCTGCCAATAAATCATCTTAATTGTTTAAGACCCCAAAGGCAAACAGTAGCAACAGCAGCCGCAGTCGCAGCCGCAGCCGCTGTCTCTGTCGCAGCAACAATAGCCAGCGATAATTGCAATTAAAAATGTAAATTTATTTGTTTAGCTTTATTTTTAGCAACAACAATAAAATATATATAAAATGAAAACAAAAAGAGAACAAAAACAAAATCAGCAACTGAAACTAAAACTCGACGCGCGCCCAGTTGCAATTTACAATTTTACAACTGACACTTTGCTGCATATTTTTCTAATTGCGTTTATTTTTCCTCTTTCGCCTCGCTTGTGTATACCCTCACTGAGAGTATGCGGCATATGTGATGGCGCATGTGCATGTAGTAGATAAAGATAGACGCAATGTTAAATTTTATTCAGCTAGTAATACTGATTGAAGTAAGCAGGAAAAACTAAAGATATATAATAATTTATATTATAAATAAAAAAATTAAAAAAAAAAAAAAATAAAATTCATAATCATAAAATACACGAAAAAAAGATAGAAAATGTAGGAAAAGATATAAAAAAAAAAATTAAATAAATAAAAAATTAAATTAAATAAATAAATTAAAAAATTTATTGATTATTTTTCTATTTTATTTAAGATTCATATAGTATAATCAAATTAGAGTATTAATATAATACATATCAAAGCAAAAAGATGTATATAAAATCATTGAAAGCATGTCAAACTGTGATCTATATTGAATTGAACCAAAGATACGGCAATGCTTGAGCCGAATCGAGTGGGTTAAAAATTTATAAAATAGATTTGATGGATATGGAATACAAATGCAATATATAATATAATATTATAGGTATTATGAACCTTTGAAATTTATGAATTATAGCAACAATCAACAAAATTAAAATAATAAAGAACTGTTTCTCACATTTGTCCCATGTCAATTCTTGCTTTTTCACTTAAGATTTGCTTCCTTATGGATCGATAATATGGAATACAATCGCAGCATATTATTTCGCTAGCATTCAAACGTTCTCTTTATGCAGCACATTCGACATACCGCAAGCGTTTGCTGAGCAGTTAGGGTATTCACGCGTCGTTAACAACAGCCGGACAAGCTGTTCGCTCTGTTGTTTTCTATTTTCTTTCCATTTCATTGTTTTATACACAATAGACACTGTTTGTTGTTGTTGTTGTTGTTGCTGCTGTTGTTTATTATTGTTGTTACAATAATTATTTTGCCGCGCATTTGGCACAATTATTAAATAATCACATTCGCCTTTAGTATCTCAGTTTTGTGCTATTTTCATTTTCATTTTCATTTATTTTGCATTTGATTAACTTTGTTATTAACTATATAAATGCTTGTACAAAAATAAACAACCATTACAACAACAGCAACAACAACAACAGCTGTAAATTGCAGCTGCTAAGTGATGACTAAGTCTGCAGTTCTTTCGAATAAAATATGACTTGATAAATCGCACTATCTAATTACAGTTCATTAAGACACATTTTTCATTCAAGCAAAACTATTTTTGCTTGCTTTTTATTACCTTTTTTTTCTCTGTAATATTTAAGGAATGTGATGATGCTGAATAAGGCTTAGAATAAAGCTAAAAATAAAAATTATATCTATATTTTTTCATATAAATTTAATGATATATGTGTATGTATTTATGGGATTTCGAGAGTGCACTGAAGACTGAGTAACTACTAAATATAGTTAAATAAATAAAATTGATTTTTTTTTCCTTTTAATAATATTATTATTATTATTTTTTTAATACCAATAGATTTAACTATTTATATGGCAAAGAATTTTTATATTACTTTTTGTATATTTTTAAACATTGTATTTAATATTTAATGTTTAGCCTATAAATATATTTTAAGCTATTTATTTATTATTGACACCATTTATATATTTTTAAAAATATATATATATATTTTTTTTAATTCTAAGATTCTATTATATTTTTGAAAATTAATCGATTAAAACTAAATAGAAACGATGTAAATATCAATTGACAATAGTTTTTCTTCTCTTGAATTTACTTGATATTCATCTCCATATTAATGCTCATTAAGGCATTGCTTCGTAAGAAACTGAATTGAAGCTAATCTGTTTTAAATGAGCGAGCGAGAATTAATGAAATTAAACGCCTGCCCACAGCTTAGGGCCGGAGCCCACGCGCAGATCTATGGGCTGCGATTAGAAACGTTTCCGTTTCCGTCTTTGCTGTGCTCAGCTGCTATATTTAACACTAGAAGCGTAGTGGTGGGGGAGGGGGTCGGAAATGGGGCGTGGCCTGTCAACCCTCGCGTCGAAGTGAAGGCAAACTTTGACAGCAGCTGCTGTGGAATGTCGCGTCAATTTGTCTGCCTTGTTGGCAACAATCTCAGAGCGAGTTGAACATCTGCTGCGATGATGATGATCGTGACGATGATCATGATGAGTATGAAGATCATGTTGTTGTTGCCGCTGAGTGCAAGTGTCGCGTTGATTTATTAATTAAGCATTGGAGAGCTGCGCGTGGCAACTGCGTGGCTAATGAAGTACTCGGACTTGGTACTCGCATACGCTGGCAATTTTAATTAACGATCCGATCCGATCAGATCAGATCTTTGTATGCACACACACACACACAGGCAGGCACACGCACACGCACATACTCTTCTTATATTTATACATCAAATAGACTTTTGGGGCAGCTGAGTGGTTGACTTATGACATCACATCCATTTGGACAGCAGCTGTGCCCAGACAAGCTGACGACGCCACACACACACACACGCACACATACCATATATTGCGTACACACACACACACACACACACATTGCGCATACGCCACGTGGCCGGGCCAGCAGCAGCTTGAGACATCGAATTCTGTGTAAATTGCGCTCGCTGCGCATCCCCACAATTTGTGAGGCTGTGCTTAATTTGTCTAGACAATGGCAAAGTTCATGCCGAGTGCCAAATGGAATCATATTCGTATCTATGAGCACATTGCCTAAGCAATCGCATCGCACTCGCATCGCATTCGCCATCTCACTCGCAAGTTCAATTAATGATTTTATTATCATTTTTTTTTTTTTTTTTTGTCACATGTCTCTTCTCTGCAATTTGCATACAATTATTGCTCTGGCTTGGCCATGATTCATGCCCGTTCCATGATGTGCCAATGGAATGTCTTAATTTGAAGCATCTGTCGGGGGTTGGCAGCCCCTGTTCCCATATTTGGCAATTAAAAGAAACCCCCATCGCCTCAAGTGCACTGAACTGCAGCCCAATTCCACTGAAAACTCCGACCAAATCGATGTGACAGCTTCGCTGGGGCATATCGGCAGTGAGGAATCTGTGCTTAATCAAGTTTATGCATGCAATATGCTAAAGAGTGTCGAGCGGCTTTACACGGACTTCAATTTCCTATTTCCGATTTAGGGTGTGTGGAAAATTTCGTTTGATGAAATTATTGAAGCTCTATTTCCAGCTCAAACTGAATTTTACTTCTTTATTTTGCATTTTAAATCGTGGAAGTAGCTTTTATTTATTGAAAATACAAAATGTTAGTAAAATTTAACAAAATTTAATTGAACTTAAAATAATTGCAATAAATTTCAGATTTTTAGGGTGAATTCGCATCTTGAATAGAGCACAAAATGTAGAATTTATTTTCATAATTTTTCACAGCAGAAATAAATTAATGTTAATATGTGGTATATATATATTTTTTTGATTTTTTTGAAATTTTTATTTTTTAATTTTTTTTTAATTATATATAAAAATTTTTTAAAATTTTATTTTTTACAATTTTATTTTTTTTTTAATTGTATTTTTTAAATTAATTTTTTTTTTTTTCAATTTTATTTATCTTTTAAAAATAATATTTATCATAAATGAATTTATTTCATTTTATTTATTTAATTAATAAAATTTATCATAAATGAGTTTATTTCATTTTATTTATTTCATTAATATGTAGTATATTTCAATTTTTTTTATTTATTTATTTATTTTGTTATTAAATTTATTATTATAGCCGAAATGAATTTATTCTAATTAAAATATAGTATATATAAAATGTAGTTTATCAATTTATAAGACTACCCTCGTCTGCATACAGATCATAAACTAGTTCAATTCATTTAAAGAAAATATTTAATGCAATATAGAAGATTTTTCTACGACCAAGTTTCGCAATAAAGTTTCAGCAGATGAATAACCATGACATGTAATTGAAATGAATTTTTAGAAATCATATTTGCCTTTCTCCTCCATTTGTAATCAATTAAAGAGCCTTTGGCGCTGATTAGCGCAGCTGAGCTTCAAGAGCTTCAGATAGCAAACGAAGAGCGCATGGGAATGGAAGAAGAATGGGAGATGAGGAATAAATCATATGCATTTCATCTAACGCCATTTGGCAGCGCACCAATTAACGATTTATGGATTATTAGCGTGGCACAGCTGTGGCAGTGTTAATGTGCAGTCTGCCATTTATCAAATGCATCTGCTTCATGGCCAGAGACAGAGCCGCAGTCGGAGCCAGAGAGGCAGCTTAATGTCAATCTGTTGGCTTGAGCTGAGCGGCAATTGATGCTGCTGCTGCTGCTGCTGCTGCTGCTGCTGCTGTTGTTGCCTCTTGGCTATTAATGCA